GGTTCTACTTACTCCCCTTATGTATATTTTGGAAATCAGTCTATTTAACACCCACATTCATCACTGCTGAAAAGTCAGAAAACCCTCTGTTCACCTAGGATTTTTATTTTCCTTCACCTTAAGGACTTGTTAAAGGAAATGGAATAATGCTGGAGAAGCAGTATGCTCGTGGCCCGGGAGAAGACAGACTCATGAAGAACCCAGGGGTAATACCAGGCAGCCTGGCTTCAGCCACTCACTGTCAGCACCCCTAACAATCATGTGTTTTTAAAAGATGATGCCCAACCACTTTTAAACTGAGACTCCATCTCCTTTCCACACAAGATGCCTCAGAGGGTAAGAGCAGATCTTAGACAATTTGTGAGCTCTGTGTTCTCATCAGTTAATCCGTATTTAGAACCTGCATAAACCAGGAAAGGTACGTAGCAGCTAAAGGAATTATAATCCCTCAAATGCAAACCACCTTCGGTCACACTTAGTCCAAACCAGTGCAGTTTTATAAAGTACATTCTTAATGGAGCTCCAGAGGACACATATTTTAGAAAAGGTGGAGGCGGCCAAAGAGCTTTGAGTTGTTTTAGCCTATAGTTCAAGAAAACTAAGCCACGGGTATCAAAAGCACACCAGCAATCTCGCCCACTCCACCCACCCACATATACATACAGAGACACAAAGAGAAGTGGATTGCAATGCTCCTCCTCATCTCTCATTTCCACAGAGTTCTCAGAAAAAGAGCAAGAGGAAGAAAGAATATTCTGATGCCTTGAGATAGGTTACATCTAGCAATAAAAGGGTTAAGCAGCACTACTTTCCTAGAAACCTTCCAATTCCCTAGCTACTAATGCAATTTTCCTAATTACCTGAGCTATCTAGTCTTAAAAATTCAGCAGATTAAGGGTTAAGACTAACACCGCAGAAAGAAAAGAGAACTTGGTTCAGCTCCACCCTCTTTAAAGCAAATAACAACAACCCTGAGCCAAATCCACTAAACATATAGAAGACTTCATGGACATTCCAAAAGACAGGTGAAAAGGGGTTGAGCTTCCTCAGGTTTCTCACCTTACAGCACCACACACATAGTAGACTTCTCAAATTTGTGAAATAAACAACTGTTAGATAAAATAGGGTACATATAAAATTATACTCAAGACTTGAAAACAAGTCACAGAGGTCACCACAAGTCAACAGTAATAGCTGGAATTCGGGTGAGGAAGGTCAAACAGTACTCATGGAAACAAAATCAAAACAAAAACATATAGAAATAGAAGGAATATGAGCCCTAGAACTTAAGTTTTGGAAGGAAAGCTAATGGCGGGGAGGGGTCAATCATTATCCTAAAGAAAGATACAAAAATGCTGCTTTAGTCACCAAAGGAGGAGCGGGTGTCAATACTCTTAACCTTATATTTCTAGGGGGAAAAAAAAGATGTTCACCAGATAAAAACAGGTGGTTACTGACATCTCGGATATCACTGGAAAGGGCAGTCCAGGAGCACTTGGTCTTGCTAGAATAGAAATAGGAAGAGATGAGTCACTATTTTAATTCTATTTAGAATTAAACACCTAACCCTTCAGGGTTAACATCTCAACCCTCTAGTCATAAAACAACATTTTCTTCCTGTTTCCATTGCTTTATCACTTTTCTTCCCAAATTTATGGAGCTGGGTCAAAATGTTGGGAGGTGGAACTAAGAGAAAGAGGTAAGAGTTACAAGCCATTTGTTTAGTAGAAAGATACACTAGGCTAAGGGCATAAATACCTGGAAGACAAAAGAGCTACAGTTATAACTAGCTATTATAATGAGCATCAATATTCAAGACTCTTCCTCTCCCGGACAGTGCTACATATCTTACAAAGCTTTTATAGCAAAAAGCAACCAAACGGCTCCCTGGAGAGAGGCCATGGTGTGGACAAAAGGTAATGAAATATGATAGGGTTACACGTATATTAATATTCCTTCAGACTCGGATTGAAAGTAACTGGCTTTTGAGGAAAGGTTACTCTTCTACAGGCACGCAAAGGGACGCCAGTAGTCGCCTTGGGGCACAAGAGGCAGTAGAAAAGGAGTTGAGGAGATGGTTATCATGGGAAATGTAAAAAAAACCAATTCAATTACAAACTTCTTGAACTCGCAGTCCAACTTTCTTCCCACAGGAGAGATTTACCACCATCCTACGTCAAGAAGGGCATAATCATGAGAGTTCTAATCCTCTGAAAAGTGATGAGCAACAGGGAAGAGAGGTTCTCTGGATAGAGAAATACTGGTAAGCAAATAAACGTCATGCCCCAGTGACCATAGGACCTGGGCAGGAACCCATGCCTGTAATCGCAAGGACAAATGTCCAAAGAAGGAGGGGGGTAGGGCTCAAGTCAGGTAACATTCCTGCGGGGAAGGATTATCAGGTGACACCCGGCGGAGGGCCCAGGGGACTGGGCGGGAGGAAAGTTAGCAGGTAAAAAGGATCAATCATGGAGAAGGAAGTGACCTTTAGGAGAAGGAAATACGAGAATACCAAAAAAGGGGTAAGGGTAAGAAGAGAAAATGGACCCAGAAGAGGGGACCAAAAAAGAGGAGGCGTGTTCGGGTACTGGAGGAAGAAGAAAGGAAGTGAGGCTGAGAGGGGAGAGATGGGGCTGAGAGACGGCCGGGGATATGCGGGCGGGAGGGCAAAATGTGCGGGCTAGGGAGCGAGGGAAGCCCCGAGGTGGCCGGGGTAAGAGCCGGGTGGGACTCCGGGGCTTCCCGAGGTCCCGAAGGGGAGGATGTCGGGCTGCAGAGCCGCGGACAGAGCGAAACGAGGAAGGGAGGCGCGGGGGCGGCTCCCCAGAGCCAGGCAGGCGCGTCCCTGGGGCCGGCTGCAGGGGTCCAGACGGCGCTTACGGGGCCAGGCAGGAGCCGGATGGGAGGGACACTCACAAATTTCTTAGATTTGCCGCCGTCGCCGCCCGCCGATGGCAGCTCATCTGGGCTCCGGCCCTTTTTCTTGTCCCGGGTCCCGCGGCCGGGCCCCAGGCCCCCGCCGGGCGGCTCCATTCCCGGTTCACGCTGGCCGGCAACCCCGCGCCTACGCCGCTCCCGCCCGGCAGCTCCGCGACCGCCGCCGCCCAGCCGCTCTTTAGCCAGCAGTTCTTTAGCCAGCCGCCGCGCCCCGCCTCATTAGCATGCCGGGCTGCGCGCGCCTCATGAATATACAACGACGACGCCTCACTCCCGCCCGCCTGCCCCACTTCCGCCCGGACCCGCAGCCCCTACCAATGGGGGAAGGGAGAGGGGCGGAGGGAAGCCGCGGAAGCGCGCTACCTGCCCGGCGGACCTAACCATTCGGACCCACGTGGGGGGGGTGGCGAGTGGGCGGTGCAGCTCTTCGCGGCCGCGCCGGGGAGCACCGCCCCCTGGCGGTTGGAGCAGCGCAGGCGTCTGGCTCCCACGCAGCGCCCACATGGCTGTAGCCTAACAGCCTGGACCCTCTCATACCCCAGACCAAAAACTGCATGAGACCATTATCCTGGCAGAAAATTAGTGCCAGGTTTTTCAAGAGAATGCAGTTTTTAATGTGTGCAATACCCATGGAACACATGACAAATGTTATAAAAGTGATAGCCACCATGTTTTGAAAGCAAGGTACCAAGAACAGAGCTCCCTCCAGGGTAAGCACTAGGCTAAACCAGACTCGCTCTGGAGTTTAATTTCCTAGTTTGAATTCCAGGTTAGATACCATCTAATTGTTTCTAATCAGGACAAACTAATTATTGCCAATATGTGCCTAAACAGCAATAACAGTTACCACTTAACCATGCCCTTTGCTCTCTGCCAGGCACTATGCAAAATACTCTACATGTATTTTTCTAAGTCCCCACAGTCCCATGTGATAGATTCTGCTAGCCTCACCATTTTATAAATAGTAAATTTGGACTTTCTGAGAGTTGAAGTGACTTGCCCAAGAAGGCATAATTGATATATAAAATTTAAACCCAGCTTAGTCTGATTTGCTGCCAAACCCTATGTTTAACCAGGATTCCCCACTGACATAAACCAAACATAAGTGAAAAGAATGAGTATTCTCCAACAGTATATTCTTTGTTCTTCTAGCATGACTTTCTCTCTGAGCAATTTCATCCATTCTCCCAGCTACATCTGTCCCTTGTGTGAGTTACGTGGCTACCAGTCAGCCTTCACAATATGGACTGAATCATCTTAACCACAGCTAGCAAGATTTCAAGTGTAAGTTCCCGAAGAGTAGAGTCAGTGACTTACTTACGCTAGAGCCCCAGTGCCTAGTCAAGGGCCTGAGATATACCAGGGACTCTGCCAAGCTGGCTGGCTCCTAAATTTGGCATTCATCTCTCTTGGTCCAGACCTTCTAACAGTGACCTGATAGAATGTTACATAGAGCTGTCCCTCCCATACTTCAAACCTGACTTAGTGCTGAGCTTTCCAGACTTTTTGTCCAAAAAGTCCGAAAGCTACTTTCTAAGCTAGTATTGAGAAAGACAGAATCAGAATAGAGGGGAGGAAGTGACCCATCTATCAGTCCTCTTTCTTGTACCAGTCTATATCTGCTACAGTATTTATCACACTACTGACTGGAATGTACTCTTCCAGAGAAAGGTCCATGTTTGTGGCTACTACAGTATTTAGCACTGTTCTTCACATAGACAGTTAATGGGCAACTTATGTCAGGCACTGTGCTAAGCACTTAACATGTTTTATCTCAGTGTATCTTCACCAACTAGCATTACTACTCTAAACACCCAGATTCAAACACCTGAAGTCATCTTATACTCCTCTCAAATCTGCCCAGGTTTGTCTAACTCTTAACCAAAATGCTCTATTAACTTCTTAGATATACAATAATAAATGTAGAATACATACACAGGGCCTAACATAGGATATGTGCTGAATGAATGTTAACTATGCTTTCATTACATGCATCACCACGCCCATTTCTCTCTCCTTTCATAAATAGGAAACTAGCAAGAATTAACACTCCTAGAAAGACG